TATTTGGTTGCCTTGCCAACAGATGGGAGACCTAGTAAAACTTGAACCAAGTGATGTATTGCATTTCCGGGGCGTTGTCTGAGTCTCCATAGCAGCTTTGCTCTCGCACTGGTTTGATTGTTGTTCGCTGTGCTGGTCGTGGCGCCCAGGAGATTGTTCCACGTACATGTACTGTATTATTTTTGGCTATTTTCGGCTATTTTCGGCCTGATCATATTTGGCCAAAAATTTGTGGCAGCCGAAATTTTATTTTGCAAGGTTCAGTGTGACAGGCAGCAGCAGTACAGGCCGAAATTTGAATGGGCCGAAAAATTTTTCGACTTTCAGGAAAGGCATCATAGTTGACTCCCGTACGTGTGTGTATGTATGTGTCTGTGTCTACGCATGTAGAGTCGAAGGGTGGTACGCAGCCGGCTGCATCGGCCTACTATCAGCCGAGCAACCCACACACGATGTACGTACCAGCGCAGCAAGCCACCGCGCCACCGGTGAGTACCGACAACCACTCTCTGATAATGTTGTAGACAGTCTTCTAAGCACTGTACCCGGTGCTTGGGCGTGTGGCAACACATGCCTAAACTACTGGAATACAGTGTAAGCGAAGGTATTCCATGGGAATTTAACTACTCAATCTGCGGACGGAACTGTTTCGTCCTTTGTGGACTCATGAGCGCAGCACAGAGAAAATGAACCTGATGGCAATGAAAAATAATAAATTTTCCAAAGCCAGATTTTATACCAGGCCCAAACATACCTTGCCAGAGTGCTCAAACTGACAAGTCAGTGAGCTCTGCATAACGCAAACAGCAAAGGCACTGCCCCACTGGGAATTTAACTAGATGTATGTACTCGTGGAATAGCCGAGTGGTAAACAGCAAGTATGATATAGCGTGTGCTTTTCAATTTTCAATGGTGGAGGAATGAGAGCAAAGACTTCAATGTATGAGAATGGAGAGGGTAAGGTCGGAGAGCCCGGCATTTGTGGAACGCAAAATTGGAATGAAGCTTTGTGAATACTAGTAGACAGCAGAGCATGAAATCACTAAATGTATAAATAAATGTAGATTTTGGGGCATTCTTGCCTTGGTTCTGCTTCCAGACAATGCTTAGTTTAAAGGGAGAGGAGATGTTTAGAGAAAATGAGAGCCACTATCATGCTGTATGTATCTTGCGAGTGATTTGTTTCTTCTTTTCTTGCCTCTGCGCGTGTATTTGTTGTGTTCCCCAGGCTGATCCCGATGCACCGCCGTCTTACTATGATGCCACCAAGAAACAGCAGTGATGTGATCCGCTCAGCATCGCATCGTACCATACCCCCCCCGACACTGAACTGCGTGGAATCAACGCTTCCTCTTCGGTACGTCATTGAGTGTTTGTGTCGTTCACGGTTGTGTGGAAACTCATCACCGTCAACATTATGCCGCCGTGGATTCTTCCTAGAATGTTTGGCTCGCCACGCGACCATAGTGCTCCACCTTATCTTGCCGCGTTGCTGCGTTTATCGCACGTGCGCTCCCCCAACGCGATGCCGCTCTGTGTACCACGGCGCTCCCAACGCCAAGCCGTTCCTCGTCAGTACTCGGTTCGCCCGAAAACACTTTCACGGCACCAGCCATCTGGTCGTCGGGTCAGCTGTTTCTAAAAGAGCTGCTGTATTTCACTACAAATTCACTACTTTTTTTTAAGTACAGTACTCGCTGCCGATTTATCACTGCTTTCCCCCGGGAGCATGCACGCCGTATAGGATCTACTCTACCCTGTGCTACAGTGCTGTTGAAATTGATTTCTTCTTGTTTGCAACCCCCCCCCCCCCCCTTACCCTCTTAGTTTGCTGCTTATTGTGCATGCTGGTTCGTGCCCGCTGCTGCCGCCTGCTCACGACTTCAACCTGTGTACATTCTAATGTGTAAGCTGTGTTGCTGTGACGATTTTTTTGTTTGTTTGCAATGGCTGTTTTCCAGCCCAGAATCTGAATTTTATTTCACATCTACTCCAACATAGCGATGCATGCTGTGCTGTTTTTAGAATATCAATTCAAATTATTTTATACGTGTGTAGTCTGTATGTGGTCTGCTTGTTCGTGACATGTTTATTATGCTTGGAAGTGATTTGCTTCTTGTGCTTTTGAAGGTGCACGTAGGGGCAGGTGTGTTGAGACAAACAGACCCGTGACCTGGCTCAGATCAAGGCGTGTGGCTTTTGGCAGCAGGCGTGCCGGCCAGGCACTAGGTGTTCCCATGTACATGTACACTGTACATTCCTACTGCAGTGGGTCTTGCATGCCGAGCGTGGTAATTGCTCAAGTAACTTGTTGCACCGCAATGACGTGCGGAGCACTTGTAATGAAGCCGATTGAAAAGAGTGTAAAGGACGCTGTTATGTGCCTTGTGTTCACGTTGCTCGGAACCAGTATCGCCGTTTCTCATGGCATGCAAGAGCAGATCATTCCCTGAGTTGTGAACTGCTTGTGTGGTCTTGTTCTGACCAGGGAGTCCTAAGATGCCGGTCCGGTGTTTACGACTCCCTGGTTCTGACTCGCGATCATGATCATGCCCATGTCCCGTGCAAATGGCAGATCTTCTAGCTGAGTTGATCTGGATGCATATCATTTTTTTTGTATACAATCTTGAGCAAATCTGATCATGAGTGTACATCATACTGCATGACTGTCATGTACTGGGCAATTCCCTCTCCAGTAAGCCATTGTCATCTGGTCATACTCCACTGACACTGTACACTGCACGTCATTCGTGTTGACACGAGTTTCAGCCAGGGAGTAGTAAAAATACGGCATTTTACTACTCTCTGAACTATGAAGAAAATAATTATTTGTAGGGCCGCGGCGCGACCCCCCTGTCAAAGAAAAAATGGTTTTTCGAAACAAGTGTTCCGATCAGTTCAGTTTGCTATGCATGCATGCGATCTTTGTTTGAGACCGAGCTCGAGCTCATGAGCACTCGGAACCCAACGAAGGGGTGTTCTGGGATGGACGTCTGACTCCTTTCACCAGTGACTCGACCACAGTTATGCGGCTTTCGCCTGGACCTCGCTCTGCTTTCGTAAACTGCATGTCTTGATGCGAATCCCAATGGCATCCCAAATATGTTGCCTCCTGGTGGGGAGCTCAATGCTCCTGGCACTGCTATCTGCGCTGTGCATGGTAGCAGAGGAAGATGAGCAGACTTCACAGAATGGAGGCTGGTGAGCATTCAAAAGGAGCTGCTATCCGTAAACGATTTTAATAATTGTTTGCAGCTAGCCCTGTGTCCTTTTCATTTTTCTTTTTTTTGTTGTTGCTGCTGCTGCTGTTGTTGTTTTGAATGTAGGTGGGCATGACATTCAGAATACTTAAAACCACACACGCACGCACGCACACACACACGCACACACCATGGCGGTAGTACTATAAGTACATTACTAGCAGACTGTAAAAGGTGCTTCGAGTACTGGAAGAAAATGAATCCCCATGCTATGCGTTGCGTGCCCAGACGATTGTTGGTGGCGGGGACTCCCCAAGTAAAAATAGACAGTAGCCTATGCAGTTGTACAGTGGTGTCAGGTGAAATACAACCCCTGGAACTGGGCCAGATCCTGCACAGTAGGTGGTCAACACCTGCAGAGGAATCAGGTCATGCACAGGGGGTGGCCAAACGCCCCCCCCCCCCCCCCGGAACTGAGTTAGGCCATGTACAGGGGGAGGGGTCGACCCCTGGATCTGGGCCGGGGCTTGGCCAGAAGGTGGACTACACTACTGCCTTGGTTTGGAAAGCATGTGGTTCAATGGTTCATTTGATTGAGTCGCGTTTTGCTCTGGCAGGAAATTGGCTCTCCATACAAACTCCCTTCTCACGTTTTACTATTGACGCTAGATTCTCTCTATCTCCTTCGCTTACTCTCTCTCTCTTTCTCTCTCTCTCTCTCTCTCTCTCTCTCTCTCTCTCTCTCTCTCTCTCTCTCTCTCTCCCCCATCCCTTTGCTGTTGTCATACAGGAAGAAAGGTGGCAGTCTAGTTACTCTAGGACCTTGTACCATCACCCGCGTGAATGCGGCCAATCTCAGCTTGGAGAACTTTGCTAAGAAGTAAGAAATTCACACAAGTCTATCTGGAGATTATGCCTTTATTGTTGTTGTGAAACATCACTGTTGATGCCTCAAGCTGCTTCCAATGCATTGGTGTTGAATGTTATGAGACTTGACTCAATCGGGATGAGTTTGTTGGTAGCAATCTGTCAACGTGTTAAGTTTTCTACATTCTATGGTGTGACTTTTTCCCTTTTCCATTCCCCCGACTAATGGATATAATTGTGTTGTTCTTGGTGTTTGTTTTTTCAGCTTTGTTGATGCAGGCCCTGTGCTGATCGAAGGCATAGACAACAATCAGGTCAGTGAAGACCTTGTTCTTGTCTTCTTGTCTGCCCTTGTGCACCTTGCTCATTGTTTATGTCACAACAATTGGCTTCTGCATGGAGTCCTCAGCAGCTGTGCACGTGCACTCATGCATGTACACACGTGCACACGCACACACGTGCGCGCACACACATGTATGCACGCACACACACACACACACACACACCTGGTCCTGGTCCTGGTATACACTGCCATGTAGGTCACGTGTTTCTCGTTGAGCGAGACGGAGACGAGAGGAGACATGAGCGTTGGTGACGGGATAAGTCGTTTCGCCTTTTGAAACGCCTCTGGCAATTCTGACATTGCAATTGGAACTTGTCCCTTTCATCAGCAGTTGGGCGCCTGGTGGATCGGTTGCAGTTGTGGATAGCAAAGCCCCGGATCGACTTACAGCAGCGTTCACAAATGGGACAGTGAGCGGTACAGCACGGTTTCCGAATACATAGGCGTACAGGTGAAGAGCTTGTGGCATTGGCAACATTCGGGGCAGAATTGGACTGGACACAGCGATGGACTGCAATGCCACCCGCACTCCGAAACCATCGGTGACACTGGGAGCACTGGCGGCTGTTGGCTTGCTGCTGGACTGGTTTACGCCGTTCCATGATGCACTTGTGGCGGGCGATATCTTGCTGCCGAGCAAATGCACGCCGGCACACCTCGCAGACTATCTCCCGAGCCGGTTTCTGAGCTGGTTGTATTGCTCGATAAGCTTGTCGCCACTCAGATCGTTCCTGCGCTGTGTCAAACCATGACTCGTCGGCGATGTTTATTCGTCGCAGGTCGACCCTAATTGCGTCTCGCCATCGTTTCCGCGGGCCACACGCTGGGCGTGGTGGCAGCAATGTGTCAAACAACAACATCCGCGGCATCCGCTCCTCAGGCATGCGTACCACGTGCCCAAGCCATTCCAGTCTTCTCTGCATGACACACACACACACACACACACACACACACACACACACACACACACACACACATGCCTCTCCCCCTCCCCCCCCCCCCCTACACACACACGCGCGCGCGCGCGGGCACACTCACATGCATTTTACTCAAACCTTTTCCTGTACACTTTTCTCTTGTGCGCAGGAGTTCCGCCGTGAATGCACGCGCGACAACTTGATCACAGCATACGGCCATCGCCGCATCAAGCTCACTACTGCCACATCCACATCGCTGGTCCGTGCCCCAGTCTCTCTCAAATACTACATAGAGAACATGATGCAAGCGCAGAGTGTGCAAACTCCGGCCAACGAATCGCTCTATCATTTCGGCGACACAGACCGGGAGGAGTGGAAGTCGGTGTTCGATCTGTATAACTTCCCTGCCTATCAGGTTCCCGGTATGGAGCCGATGATCAGCTTTGGACTGGCTGGTACGTCTGCGATAAGTTGTGGATAGTATGAGTAGCTGACGGTGGTTTTTTTCCGTGCGTGTGTGTGTGTGTGTGTGTTTATGTGTTTATGTGTTTTGTGTTGGTGTGTGTGTGTGCGTTTGTGTGAAATCTCTTCGCTAATTGAATTTGAATTGTTCATAGTCAGGGCTAGTGTGGGCAGGTCGCGAGAGTGCTCAATGCACCATGGCATGGATGCTAGGGACATACACGAATACAGGAGACGGTTGGCTGTAAGTTCAACTCTCATGCACTGGGTGATCATCAGAGAGCATGCACCCAGCGTGTGGATAAAGTTCAGGCCGTCTCCTGTATTTCTGAATTTTTCATAATTATGTGTGTAGCGTAAGATTCAGCTTCCACTTGGCATGTTGATCAGTGGTTGTAATGGTGTTCTCATTTGTCCACTATTATATTCTGTTTATGATCCGTTTCTGATACAGTAAAACCTGTAACTAAAGACCACCGTGACTAGCGACCAGCTGAGCCCGGTACTGCAGACCACTTCGCCAGGCACGGATGGTCGCACGTTCACGTAATATGGTTGTGTGGTGCAAACCTCTAACCAAGGACCACCTGCCACTAAAGACCGTTTTCTCCGGCCCCAAGGGGTGGTCGTTAGTCACAGGTTTTGCTGTACTTGTACTGATGACACGTGTGTTTATGATGTGTGTGTGTGTGTGCAGGGCCCGGTACCGGTGTGCCCATGCATTTCCACGGCCCTACCTTTGCCCAGGTTATGTACGGTAGAAAGGTACGTTGCAGGCATTGCACGTGCTAGGGGTACTGTGAAACATGTAATTTTCGGTGTAACTTTAATTTCGGTGATTTCGGTAGTGAAACCAGGCACCTAAATTTAGATTACACCTATTAACGGCACTAGAGTATGCACTGTATGTGAAGGGAACGCTGGTCACCTAATTCTACATAACACCTGAAACCTGGCGGGTCTCTGGCACCGAAATTTTAATGCACCTAAAATAACATGTTTTACAGCATTTGCGGTCCGTTGTTCACACACTACTTTCTCGTCTTCACCATTTTTGTAGGAGCCAGACCATTGGTCTGGGGAGAAGACATCGGTGCCTGTGCATTTTGACGAAGGAAGATATTATTATTCCTTCGTCTACTACCTTCCCCTTGTTGTGCACAGCCGTGCGTTCACTTGTCATTCGTGCAGCGTGCGTGTGTGGTAACTTACAAATCTCACATGTGGCGAGTGGTCTGTCACATATGACATCATGAAAGTGTTCCAGTGAAAGCCATCGGGCGTGACTCGTTGTCGCTGTACAGCTTTTTCACGGTACTATATTTTGGGAACTTGTGGCCTGGTACGAGGGAGACATGGATGCAGTGAATGGGATTTCGGTCTTTGACCACTTTGTGGTGGGTCTGGTCTACTCACCTCCCACCGCTTAGGAGCTGCATCTGCACCTTGATCCTAGAGGGTGGTGGCGTTCCTGCGGATGCGGAAGACTCGGCTTTTACTAGTTTTAGCCGAGTCTCACGCGAACCTTGAATTTAAAAAAAATAAATTTTTGGTCATGTGGTGCTCACCAGCGCTTGACCCTTTGTGGACTTGTATGCAGTGCTTGTGATCCATACCTGTTCACCAGTACTTATCTTTTCCTACTATGTAGTAAAGAAAAGGACCAAGGAACTACAAGTTATGCTATAATGTCCACTAACACCACCAGTTACTAAACAATCAGCTCATGCAATGAAATTGCAATGTTATCGCATGAGCTGATCGTTTAGTAACTGGTGGTGTTAGTGGACATTGTAGCGTAACTCGTAGTTCCTTGGTCCTTTTTTCTTGTCTATAAATTAATCCTTGGCTCTCCATCCCAGTCCATACTATATTGTAGTACAGTCAGACCTCGCATAGCCGCACACATCCGTTTTCCACTAAAATATCCGGATAGGCAATTGAACCGGATAATCGAACACACATACAGTGTGTGTATGCATGGCATATGCTGTAAATCGGTAACCAACGATTTTCTTCCGAATGGCGAGGGATCCGGACAAAAGAGGACCGGGATAAGCGAGGCCTGACTGTAGTAGTACTGGGCAAGGATGGAACAGCTCTATAAGCCCATTTCGCAATGATATAATTTGTACCGCGAACACCCCACACAGCCACTTGTGCATGGTCGTCTGGGGTGCTGAATTGCGGATCCCAGCATACTCACATGCATTTCTCATACCTTCCATATTTGGCAATGCACAATGGGCTTATTCCGTCACTGTTACTGTGTTCTCTGTTGCAGCGTTGGTTCTTCTACCCGCCGTCGCAGGACTTCCGCGTCGGCTATCACTCCGACCTGTCCATGCTGCAGTGGTACCTGGAAGAGTACCCGTTGCTGGATGACGTCACCAGGCCGCTGGAGTGTACGCTGGAACCCAATCAGGTGAGAGCGGCATTGCTGCTGTAGAAGGGTTTTGCCATACCCAAGTGTGCATACAGTACAGCATGCACTGAAAATCACTAAAAATCCGAAAAAATTAAGATACGACTAGACCTTTCGATCGTTGAATTCGGACAAGGATTGGCTGAATGACGAAAGTTTGAAGGCCTCTCAGTATGCACTGAACATTCATGCGGATATACCCGTCCTATAGGCTTTAAAGGGATTTTTCTTAAAATTAAACTCAATCTGCGGACAGCACTGTTTCGTCCTTTGTGGACTCATCAGCGTAGCTAATTGCACTGTGTTTGGGCAAAAGTATAGAAACCCTGGAGTGTGTTTCTTTGGTTCCTTCTGTATGGGGGAACTCCATTGTCGAACCTTCGACTTGGCAAATCTTCAAGAAAGTACCAGTCCCTGCTCAGTACAATTTTTTGGGAAATTCACCCCTCATCAGTTGCGCTTGAGTAGGCTGAGTAAAATTGTGCCTAAAGAGCATCACGCACACTTGTGCAAAGTGGTGATTTTATTTTTAATGCATATCCCCCCCCCCCCCCCCGTAAAGAAGCGTAGTGCTGCAGTAGGTGCTGTTTTGATGTACAGTGTTGGTAGATGAAGTCGTTGCCCCTGGTTTACCATCATACAGTGCTGGCAACTGAAATCCGACCCCCTGAGCGGTGCACTGCTCACATCGTAACACTACGAAATAGAGGCCGCTGGAAAGTGAACGCACCGCCCAGGGGGTCGGATTTCAGTTGCCAGCACTGTAGTTCAGCATGTGCAGGGTTTTACCTACTTGTCAAGAGTTACCTTGTTTACGCGTTCGCTGTGTTGTTGTTGTCTTTTGTGCTCATCGTTTACGGAAAGGGGAGAGATTTCAGGGCTCTAGGCATGGGCTAGACTCAGACTGCACTGGGAGCACAGAACAGGGACAAGTATTTTGTGTCATACCCTAGGGCAGTAGTACAGTTGCGCTCACTGAAATCCGACCCAAAGTGCAAAGCTGACGCCCTGGACCAGTTCCGATTACATCATTGTATGCGTACATGTGTACGTCCAGCTGCATTCATTCCACTTCCAGGGCGTCAAGGGCCGTGGAAGCTGAGGGTGCCAGCTTTGCGCGTTGGGTCGGATTTCAGTGAGCGCAACTGTAGTACAAGTAGTAGACTGTGTTTACTTGAGAAATTTCCACCCGGGGTTGAAGTGTGCACAGTGGAGGACGAATAGTGGGTGTTCACACGAAGAGGGCTGACCCTGGGCGATTACTGATATACCAACAGTCTATTTCAGCTGTGCTGATAGTCGTGTGGCTAAGCCGGCGGGAAATTTGCGTTTGCAATGCTGTGAAATTCTGGCGCGAAACACGTCCATAAGAATGGTAGTACGGTTTTTTTTCTTTTCCGATTTCAACCCTCCACCAAGGGGAGGGCTAAACTTAAAATCAATCCTGGTCAAATGCAATGCATCTTACGAAAGAAATTGCTCTTGTCATTCTGTGCTCATGGCGTGTTGGAAGCTCTCACGTAAGCACGGCGGTAGTAGTGCAAGCAGTGGAATCTCGTAAGACACCATTGTCTTCTGCAGCAGAGATACAGACTGGGCACTTTCCTGGGAAGAGCGTCGGCTTGGTCGTCGTGGCAGCCCGGACCATGCAGCGCTTTGGAGTCAAAGTCGTATACTGCAGCTCTTGCCCATGCGTATTTATGATTTTCCTGGCCGCTATTCACTCTCACGAGCGAGGCCATTTCCAGCAACCTACTGTCAGTACTTGCCTCTGGTGTGGTCGTCCTCAAAGCAAGGCTCGAGGCATAGTGATACATGACTGTGGCAGGTTTTGCAACGGTAACGAGTGTCCCTCCAAACGCCGCAAGCTTTGCAGACAACGCAACGACGCAAGACAATGACCTTGGTCTCTGTGGCTGGGTGTTTCTCAGGAAAATGCTGTCCCACCAGGCCATCCTGGGCCAAAGCAGCAGCATCAGCAGCAGGAGAATTAGCGGCAGCAGCAAGCTCAGCATCTGCAGCTTCAACCAGGGCGTGCACCACTTTCTAGACGAATGCCCGGTGCTTTGCTTTGCCACCCCGCGTGCGGTGGGTGATGTATGCATTCTGCATGGCTTCCTCAATGAAGTGCAGGCCAACTTTGACGTACCACTTTAGTGTGTGGCGTACTGCAATGAGTGCTGTTACCATTGCTTCGTTCTTGTCGACACCTCCCATGCGGCTGTTGTATTGACGGTTGACCTGTAGCCGCTTTACGTGTCGGCGTTTGTGAGTCGCATTGCCGGTGGCGACGCTCCTTTCTGAATACACGCTTTAAAAGGAAGTCAACTGGCAGAGCGTGAGTGACAGCGTTCGGAATAACACTGAAAGACGAGATCCAGCGCTTGTCCGTTGATTGCACTGAGCTGCTAACCTAGATCCTCCTCAGAATATTGGGCCAACAAGGGATCAGCTTTTCGCTTGCCCTCCTTTCACAATCACCGGCACACTGACCCTCCAATCTATTGACTACGACGAGGGTGAAGTGGTTTCCCGGTTATTTTATCCTATATTGCAAGCATGCTGTGTTCCGATGGTCACAGCTCTGCATAGCACTGAATAGCGAGATCCAGCCCTTGTCCATTGTGTGCACTGGGCACTCAATCTACGATGCGTAGCGCAGAGGGTGAAGTGGTTTCCTGGATATAAATCTTATAACTATTGCAAACATGCTGTGTTCCGATGGTCACAGCTCTGCATAGCACTGAATAACGAGATCCAGCCCTTGTCCGTTGTGTGCACTGGGCACTCAACCTACATTGCGTAAAGCAGTCGAGAAAACTGCCAGCTATCAGCTTGGTGAGGACTCTCCTGTGCAGAGTGCTGGAATCCTTGCGTATGTTGGTCGCGGCGCACTCACACCTACGGCCGTACCCGAGTGAGACAGTTCGTAGAATGCCTTGGTGTGGAACAACACTGGGCAGTTCTACAGTAGTGGAAGGAACTTAGTTCTACTAGACCGGACATGCAGTGTGAGAGCGGTTTTGGTTTGCTCCACGCAGCCTAGTCAGGGGCTACTTCTTGTGACAGTTTTAGCTGGTATATGAAGGGGACTGGCATATATGTGTAGATAATCATAATTTATTATCATGATGACGTTGCACCCCCTTACATGTAGAGTAAAACCTGTGACTAAAGACCACCCCTTGCCTTGGGGACAGAGAAAGCGGTCTTTAGTGACAGGTGGTCCTTAGTTAGAGGTTTGCACCGTACGACCATAATAGTAATTAAAACTGTGAATGTGAGACCGTCCGTGCCTGGCGAAGTGGTCTGTAGTACCAGGCCGGTCGCTAGTCACGCTGGTCTTTAGTTACAGGTTTTACCAAGAGTAGATAAACAAGTGTGCAACTCCCGGATCCGCGCGGATGGTTTGGCCCACGGCGGAATTTTTTGTTGACGTAGTCTTTTCGACCACCCACGCGCTGCTAGTCTTTTGGAAAGTTTTGCCTCGTGTGCTTGGCCGGGCTTACATTACGATATCGGTGCCCAGCACGTGCTCTCACACTGCTCTGCGGCAAGAAGCGCGTTTTTTCTGAAGAAAGGTGACGTCAACAAAAAATTCCGCCGTCGGCGGGGGTATCTGGAGATTGTGCAGGAGAGATCTGCGAGTTGCACACTCTTGTTTATCTACTCTTGATTTTTACTGTACATGCCATCATAATGTACAGTGCGCTGTGGGATGGTGCAATGGTTTACCTGTACACCGGCTCAGTATATGCACATGTATAACGCTACAGTGTGTCTGTCTGTCTCTCTTCTCGTCTGCGTATGTCTGCATGTGGACATGTCTGGACATACGCTGTGTATGTGTGCGTGGTGTGTGTCTGAGCGTGTGTGTGTCTCTGTCTGTCCGTTGTCTTTGCTGCCGTCTTTCCTGTCCTCTGCTGCTACCGTCTTGCAGTTGCTCTACTTCCCGGACCGCTGGTGGCACAGCACTCTCAACATTGACGAGAGCGTATTCGTGTCCACCTTTCTCTCGCCGTCGCCCAGCTGAAGAACGACGGGGCACCACTGGACTACTACTGCTCTCACTGTTTTGCGGTTTGCGCTGCACTCCCAAATGCAATGCAGTGCTCGGTCATAGTGTGTGTGCTGCCAACTGCTCATGTTGCACCGGAGTGTGGTGGTGAGCTGCTTGGCTTGTGTGCTGTGAGATTTTTTGCCAGAACTGAGTCAAGGTAGCATGCCCCAAGTGCTGTAGCCCCGGCCCCTTGGTTGTTGGCCTTGCCTGATGCACCACATTCATTTAGAGGGCCTGCTCATGACTCACTGGTCAGTGTGTAGGAGAAGGCGTGCGTGTGCGGCGAATGCTGTAGCCCCGGCCCCTTGGTTGTTGGTCTTGCCTGATGCACCACATTCATTTAGAGGGCCTACTCATGACTCACCGGTTAGTGTGTAGGAGAAGGCGTGCGTGTGCGGCGAATGCTGTAGCCTGTAGGGTCATTGTTACCTAATACAGGCTAGGCCCTGTTGAGGATCCTTTGCTACTTTGCACCTGCCACGGCCAGTGGTGTTGAGCATGTGCTGTAGTTTTATTTGAGCCATTGTGAGTAAGGTTATCTGGAGCAAGCCACTCAAGCATTACACATACTCGCCCTAATCGCTGCCCATTATCTCATGGCATTGGCTGCGGATATGTGCCCAGATATGTGGCTTCTGACGCATTACGCACGCTAGCTAGTGCACTGGCCGCGTTCTAGTCGCCTCCATCTGCCATTGACCACCGCTGCTACCATCACAGACGCAAGCAGCAGCAGCAGCAGCAGGGGTGGTCGGAGTAGCACCCTCTCCGCTGGGCACGAGGTGATTTCTTTCTGGCGAGCTAATAATTCTTTTAAAATAATGTTCAAGTCACTGTCTGGAAAGTGGAAATCCAACGAGGGCCAGGCATTTTCTTTTGACTAACATTCACTACCTTGAGGCTAACCTGCTGCTTTATGACAGTCACTATCTGTGCATGCAGGCATGCGCATGTTGACTATTAATTTATTTTGATGCTTTGAGTATTCGCTACTGAGCTATTCGCTACTGATCTAGAGTCATCATATCAGCAGCCACTTTCTCTTTCTACATACTGGTGTATTTCCCAATGCGACACTCTACACAGCCGTAAGTGATGGCCAAGACAGCTTTAAAAAAAATTCCTTTGCACACCCTACACTCGCGGCGGTATCCGATTTTGACAGCACGCTGCCTCTACGGATCCAAACACGCACTGACACGTGCGTGCACCAGCACAGACATGCCATCTATTAAGCCCATTAGATTATGGTAGTTTGTAGTAACTTTGTGCTGTGAACATCCTACACACCACCGTCTGGGGTATGCTTGTGAAACATAATAGTGTCAGGGCGTTGATCAGAGTGTCACGTGGCCTTGTACGACAAATGTCCGGAGCTGCGCCGAGTCATGAGCGTCGATCAGAGTCATGCACATTCTAACCCAGCATGCCCCCCCGCAACCTTTGCAAACCTGAGACAGGGACAATGACCTACCTTGGTATGAAAATCACAATTTTCAAATATATACAAGCGTAGCTAGCTATGAGGCATGCGACGAATGCACTTTTGGTTTTGGGTGCCTATTACCACCCTTGATATCTGGACGGTCCCAGGCCAAATCGGAATGTTTGGCAGGCATGGCATATACATGTACTCGCATCCGAAACTCATGCACTCCTTATCTGGCAATGCGCAATAGACCAATTGAAAACGGAATCTCTTTTAGAATTGACTTACATAATCATTGCATAATCAGCATTGAAAATTGCTAGCATGAACCTTGAATAATAATAATACCGGGATCCAATTATCAAGATGCAGGTGAGTGCAATCAACAAAGATGATTCACAGCATAGAACGCTTGTTCATTAGGTTGTTACGAATTGGTGAGCGAGGGAGCTAAAGCGGATTTTGACGAAAGCGGACGTTGCACATTATCCTCAACATTACGCTATTAAACCTTAGTTCACTGACGTGGTAGCTAGCGTGCGGTAAACAAGCTCAACAGGTTGCCATGAAGAGCAGAATGGCGAATGTAGTCTCCGTACTCACTGATACGCACGCATGCAGGCATCATCAAGCTATCCTCTTAATTACGAAATATTACAACACATGCGACTCAATTACGGGTCGTGCGAGTCTCAAACTCAACTAATATCAAGGAGCAAGAATAGGCCAAAGACGTTGGAAATAATTGAAACGCTGTGCACGCATGCGTCCTGTTGAGTGACCTGCTGGCGGCCACTGGTAGACGTTTAGCAGGGAGTGGTAAAACACCGGTATTTTACTACTCCCTGCTTTCCACTGAAAGCAAGAGGCTGCACTGACTAGGCGACTGGGTGTCGTTATCGGTCGCTTGTTATAGCAGTGGTGGCTTGGCCATGACGGTTGCGTACTGCGTGATCTCCGCGCTCGGCGGGGTCGGGCTGGTTCGTGCCGGCTGGGAGCCGCTGCTGCCGCCGTTGCTGTCGGCCATCTTGAGCTCCACTGCGGCGTAGTGGCTGACGCTGTTCTTGCGGCGCGTGTCGGGGTTGACCTCGCTGTAGACGTGTTGGTCGCGTGTCAACGGCCTGTTCTGGTAGTGGTCCGGTATGGACCGTGCAGCCTCCAGTGCAGCAGCCTTCTTGTCCGCCGCTACAAGGCTGTCCGGGCAGGTATAGCCTGGTCCGGGCCCGAGAATGTCCTCGTCGTCTTCCTCGATGAACGCATCGCCGACCGTGGTGCTATTCTGCTTTGCGGGCGTGGTGGTGGTGGCTAGGCTGGCGTCTTCCTCCACGACCACCCCGCCGGCTGTCAGGTGCACCGAGGCGTAGTGGTTCTGTGTCAAGTTGTGCGTATTGGCACCGACCGAGGCTGAGCGACTGCGCACCCCCTTGAACGGCTCCGGTTCATCGTAATCCCGTTCCGCTTGCTTTTTCACTCCTATATGCGTGATCCCCGTCAGGAGAGAGGTCTCGGAGTAGGCCGCGCCGGTTGCGTCATTGTCCACAGCCATCGTAGGCGCCTTGAAGCGGGGCATGGTGGATGTCTTCAGCGACGGCGGCTGCCTACTGGTCATACTGGACGGGTCATCGCTGGCGCATCTACTGAGCATCTTGCGGCCCGTGTCTGCCGCCGTCACGGGTAGCTGCAGAGTGGGTGTTGCTCTACCCAGAGGGACAGGGGTGCCGGAAGTGGTGGGCGTATTGTGGCCCGAGTTTGCGTTGCTAGCCGTCGAGCGACAGTCCGCAAGAGATAGAGGCAATGCGCCCATCGGGTATGGTGCGCTTGGTGTAGTGGCTGGCAGCTTAGGGGCAGCCGGAGTTGGTTTTGCTGGGGACGGCGACTGCACCTTGCTCACCACTGGTGGTGACGCCGCTGGTGTATCTGCCAACGATGGCGGCGGTGGCGGAGGCGGCGTGGGAGGGCCTTGTGGCGGTGACGGCGGACGAGATCGTTGCCGTTTACTGACGAGTGGCTTGCCTATGCTGTTAGTGTTGTTCAGGGAGCTGCTGCGGCGAACAGTTGTTTTGTCCGGCTTCTCAGCCTCAACCTTGTGCTGTCTTGCAGAAATCGGAACAACGCACGTATCGTAATGGGGCGGAAGATGAATAGTCATAGCCTCTATTGCAGGAAGACTGTTGCTGCGGGATCGCCGCGGGTTACGGTCCAGTGCACGGTGCTCCGCATCCGAGTCGGAGCTGCTGTCACCGCCGTCGCTGAACACACCACTGCTGGAGCCTCCGCTGCGCGTGGCGTGCACCGGCGCGTGCAAGGTACCGCGAGCGGCGTGGGCAACGGCGGCGGCGTGTGCGGCGCCGTTGTCGACGGCGACCACTCGCTCTCTGGTGTTGGGAGTGGGCGTGTAGGGCGGCACCGGCGTGTCCGGCCACATCACCGGAGTCGGCGCCATGGCGGGCTCGTCTTTTTGCCCACCAGCAGCACCTCTGCTGGTCGCATTGCGAGCACCGTCGACGTCGTAACGTTCGATTTGCTTACGCCGGCGATACATCAGAGCGATAACTGCAAACAGGACAAACACCAGCAGCACAACGAAGCAAGTCACTAGACCCGCGACGACAGCAGAATTGCCCGCCGATCCAGTGGAGTCGCCGCTGTCTGGTGTGTCAACAGCGGTGTGGGTTTCCTCTGGTACGAGCGGTGGCGGTGTAGGTGGTTGCTGCCGGCGACTGGCAAGCATAGCGAACGCACGATGACTCATGGCGCTCTCGCCAAGCTGCCCGACGGCAGTGACACGGTATGCGTGCACTTTGCCGACCGTGGCGGTAAGCGACGCGGAGCGCGTATTCCTCCCCGTTACCATGGTGCTACGCATGGGCCGCGCTCCCGTGTCGTCCTCCGGCAGCCACGTGTAGATCACGTAGCCGGTGATGAGGTCGTGCTGACGTCGCGGTGCGTGCCACGACACCAGGACAGAGCCGCCACCGCCAGCACCGCTCGGGGAGTTGTCCGTCTGCGCCATGACGTGAAGCGGAGCCGACACCAGCTGATTGGCGTCGGCGTGGCTGGCGGCGTTGTCGCAGCACGCACCGTACGGCGTGTGCAGCAGAATGGCGTCCGTGTACTCGCTGTACACGAGCAGTTCGTTGATGGTCATGTCTCGTCGTCGCCGACGCCGACCCGTGCGTATTCCGCTGGCGATGGAGCTGAGCGGACGATCCACCAGAGATTGGCCTCGTTCTCCGTCAGCCAGCGACACAACATCATGTGCCTGCTTTGCGTACAAAATTCTCATATCGAACAGAACGCCATCGTTGGGCAAGCCTTTCGGCGAGTAGCGGAAGTGACGTCGCCCGAGCAGCTTCGACACGTTGAACGTGCTGACGCGGAACACGACATCCGGGTTCGAGGCCGTCATGAATCGCAGCTTAACCATGAACGGTGAGTAGATCGGCGACGGCACAGGCAGCCACCAGCGGATCTCCGGCACTCTCCTTCCCGCCCCCGCTGCCGCCGACGTAGTGGTACGGTTGCTGGCGTAGCGCACGCTGACGTGCTGCGGGGGAGGCGTGGGCGTGCGGACGCGCATGTAGAACGTCATGTTTCCCGTGGTGCTCACGTACGTCTGCGTCTCGGTGGTGGCCGTCGCCTCCACCTGCAGCAGATAGTGGTAACCCTGGATCAGGTCGTCGAACTCCACCATCTCCTCCTTGCCGGAAATCTGCAGCTCGCGTATCGGCCGGTTCTCGACGCCCGGCAGCGGCGGGTTGTGATAGAGGCGAACGTTGAAGTTCTGCGGCACGCAGTAGTCGCCCAGCGAGCTATGGAACCAGCGGATACGCAAGCTCCGGTCCGTCACGTGCTCCTCTTTGAAGTGAATGGGCGGCTTGCAGAATCGCTCCGTCGAGGCCATGGCCGTTCGTGCGGGCCCGTAGCCGCCGCGCGCCGTCACGCAGCGCACCAGGAAGATGTAGTCGTGCTCGACGGCCAGATGGCGGACAAGACGGCCCCACTTGTGACTGCTGTAAGGTACGGATGCCCATGGCAACACTTGATCGCCAATGATCTGATACTCGACGCGAGTGATGGGACCCAGGCGCGGGTCGGCGTCGTCGGGAAACTCCCACGTCAGCTGGATGCTGCGCGACGACGCCGGGTTGGCAAGGAAACGGATCGGCGCCGGGGACTGCCGTGCCGTGGTGACGTCATGTGACTGGGTGGTGTTGAGTATGCCGACGGCACGGCTGTCCACCGCCGCCATGAAGCGGTACGTTGTCAGCGGCGACAGCCCCGTGGCCAAGTGCAGCGTGCTGGACGTGCTCAGCGTGGCGATTTTCGTCATCGGGCCACTCCCGGTCGCCACGGTTTCCGACGCTGGCGAATCCGCGGAAACACGTTGTTGGTAAATGGAGATGGCGGTGGCGTTAAAGCTGCGCGGTAGAGAGCTCCACGCCAGCCTGACGGTGGTGGAGTTGATAGCGCTGGTGAACAGGTTGCTCCAGGCGGTGGTGGCGTTGTACGCCGCCGACCCGCTGCCCTTGTAATCGCGTGACACCGTGTAGGCGTGCACGACGAACGTGTAGCGCGTGAACGGGCTCAGTCCGCTCACCAGGCGACTGAGACCGGCCGAGAGCGGCACGTTCACGTGCTGCCACGGCTGCCGCTGCGAGCCTGCCCCGGTGGCGGCCAGGTAGCGTACGATATGCCCGTGTATGGTCACCGGCGGGCTTGTCCGTGTGGGCAGCTTCCAGGAGACCAGCGCCGAGGTTCCGTTGACCACGCTGACGGTGACGTTGCGCGGGTGGTTGGGCTTGATGCGGATGGTGCGGATCATCTTGGTCACCTTGGTGCCGCGCCCGTACCGGTTGATGGTGCGCATCTCCACCACGTACACGGTGTCCTGCTCCAGGGCGCTCAGCTGCACGCTGCGCTTGTCGCGCGACAGGTATCTGTTGTGGTTGGTGGGCCGCGCGTTGTCGTTCTTGTGCCACACCACCTCGATGGTGGTGAGCGGCACTCGCGGTCGCGTCGCGTCCAAGTGCCAGTGGATGACGGTGCTGTTGTGTCTGGTGTCCTTGACAACCAGATCCCTCGGCGTGGGTGGCTTAGCTGCGCATTGAACAAAGAACATTTGTAGACAGCAGTGCAGAGTCACTAAGTTGCTCGGAACAGAGAAGTTATAATTTGGTAATGCCATCTTCAGTAAATCCGTCAAATAGTAGTGGTAGATTTTTTTTCGCGCTGGTGTCTGCAAGCGTCGTCTGGTCTCGTCTGGTCAAAAGAAAAATCTACCAGTACAGAGAAGTTAGTTGTGCCCGAAGGCTTCAGCCAGTGATAAGCAAGGCTGCTCTGCACTAGACTACGTTAACTGTGCAGCACATGTGTATGGGTCACCGGTGGAACTCTTGCTCCCTCTAGCTGCCACGACCAGCACCAGCACAAACCCAGGACCAGCCGCGTGCGCGCATGCACACTGACTCGCACTCACGCACACTCACTCACGCACGTGCGCGCACGCACGCATGTACACACACACACACACACACACACACACAATCGCACAACCTCTATAGCATGGTCCGGTGAACATAGATTAGGCAAAACTATAGCAACCAGCTACTTACGATTAATAAAAATGGCTCCCTGGTGGTGTTCCTCGGTTGACTGCCTTGTTACGCGGCACTGAAGAACACCAAAGTGCTCGCCGGTGACGTTCAGCTGGCTGTGAAACGGGCTGCTGTCGATTATGCGGTACGGGGCCGGCCTGCCGCCAAGCAACCATTCAAACTGGCACGTGGGCGCAAACCTGCGAATGCTGGCGTCGAGGAAGTCGTTAGCGGAGCAGGTAACGGAGCGCCACTGGTAGCGCGTGATCGTCAGCTCGGTCTCCGTCAGGCGAAAGGAGGCGGTGAGCGGGTTGACCACGATCATGTTAACCGTCTTGACCTCGCGCTGGAACTGGTTCTGCGCGTTGCACGTATACACACCGCTGGATGTGGTGCGCACACGCTCCAGCACCAGGTTACCGTTCACCGGCCGGGGGACGCCGGACACGCTCCCGTCCTTGCGCCAGCCGATGCGCGGCCGCGGCAGACCCGTCGCGAAGCACTCCAGCGTGACGTCCTTGCCGACGAAGCTGACCACCGTCCGTTGCTCCGTGTAGACGTTGACCTGGTGCAGCGAGCGCGCGGTCATGCAGGCTGCCTCGCACGAGTGGATGTCACGGAAGTAGTTGTGGGAACCGTCCGGCTTGCACTGCAGCGGCAAGTACTTCTGGCAGCGGAACGTCAGAGAATTGTAGTAGTACAAATCACTGTTCGTGCAGTCACCGTCCTGCGGCTGCGGCCGACAGCTGACGTTCTTCATCGTGCGTTCCACGACGAGCTGCGCCGTCTTCGACGCCGACGCAAATGACTTGCCGTCGAACGTGACCTTGGCGTTGCAGAAGTAGTGTCCCGAGTCCGACAGCTTCACGTGCGGGAACTGGAGGTTTCCCGACGGCAGCACCACAGCGTTACGAATCACACCTCCGCTATCGCCACTGTCGCCGCTGCGTATCGGTCTCGCCGTCTCCTGCATGCCGGTGAACCAGGTGGTCTCCACGGTGACGCGCCGACTGTTGCGGAATATGCTGGAAAATATGGCGGTGCAGCGTAGTATGGCCGTGTTGTTCTCGGCCACCATCAGTTCAGCCTTGGGGCCGAGGAGTCGGACATTCTCCGCACCTACACACGCACACAGTCAGAAGCAAAGAAATCACAGCAAACTCAAATTAGTGTTGAGTGACGGTCTACAGATGCTTTTAATTTAAGTTATTTCCCATTTTATTATTTCTCTTGTTCATCACACCCATGGTTCCTCATCTTTCTGTTCGTCATTCAATAAAAACATTCGTAACACTGTATGTCGATCTAACTGGTGGTGTTGATTGCGATTGTGAAACTCCGTGGAAAGTATTCGTATGCAATAGTAGAACGTATTGTGATTCACACCAGTTGATGCTTTTCTGCAGGGGTGTGTAAGCCTTTAACGCCGCTGGTACTTGATCAGTGGGGGAACACCCATGGCTGACAGAGAAATAATGCATACACACACACGCACGCACACGCACGCACACATCCTCATGGCTGACAGAGAAATAATGCACACACACACACACACACACACACACACACACACACACACACACACACACACACACACACACACACACACACACACACACGCACGCATGCAGGGACGCACACACGCGCACACACTTTGAATGTCATCCAGCCAGTGGCTCTGTGTGGCAAGGGAACCCAGTGTGGAAGGGCGGCAAGGCGTGGCATGACTGAATTCATCAAGCCCAACAAGTTACTAGTACGTACTACAATGGGCCCAGGCAATGGAAAAACAGAATGGATATCACCTCAAGTCCTAAGCCCATTGACAAGTGTACATGAATGGTTGGCTGTCAGGAGTGGCAGCCAGTATGGCACATCAATGTGCACATGGATCATGTGTGCTGGAGTAATTCACGATACAATCTGCACCGGCTTCTCACACACCTCCACCATTGTCACAGTGCCCCAATACCTCAGCAGTACTCAATCTGCTGCATTTTTGTCAGTTTCATACCGGCACAGAAACATGCAGGTGCCACCATTGATGTGCTGGGCACACAGCAACTACTTCAAATACTAGCATTGATAACAGTTTCTACATTTTATTATTGGCTCAACATCCGAGTTTCAAATTGATAACAGTGCTATTTTTAAGGTGCATGTGCTAGCATGGGAGTTGCACTGATGAGGCCTCATTGGCCGAAACAGTCTGGCCGTCTGCATCATTGTGTACTAGCATTCTATACAGCTTTACGTGTATGGTTTCCTTGCACTCCACATCCACTCAGGATCACCTATATGTACAATAACGTAGTGAATTGGGGCGCAAGGAAATAGTATATCCAGCTAGCTCTTTTCAAAGGGAACACTTAGTTCCTGAAGACGAAGTGTAAAACATTGGCATGCCACTAGGTCTTCCAAAGTTAGAACCCCCCTCCATACACACACATACACGCATACATACATACACACATACACGCATACACACATACACACATACATACATACACACATACATACATACACACATACACGCATACACGCATACACACATACATACACACATACATACACACATACATACACACATACATACATACACACATACACGCAGCACTGAGTACAGGTACAGTACATGTGTAGAGGATAACAGCAGGTAACAAAGGACAGTACAGGGGACATGTAGTTGCATTGGACATTGGACATCAGACAGGGACTGAGCCGTGTAGCATGCCTTCACTTCAGACGGTCTTCAGTACTTCAAAGTAAGACATTGCTCTCTGTTGAAGGAAAACCTGCCCAATGAGTATGTGTTGGGCGCCTTTCCGGGTTTCCACCACAATGACGAAGCAGTACCCACGCTCTAAGCCTACGTAGCTACGTAGGTCACACTCCTGTTTATGTCATGCCCACGCACAACACAGACCCATGGAGACCAAGTGGAAAAGAGAGAAGAGCCAGTGCCAGTGGCAGGGTTCTACGGAAACAGCCCAGGCATTGAGACTCCGCTTTGAAGTTGTCCACCATATTGTCCCACTAGGAGTGGAGACTCAAGAGCACAACTTTGTCCCCACGAACGGCACAACTATTACTTTGTCCCAACATGCCATGCCTTTGCAGGCCGGTTGGGGATGAGCTGGGCACTCTGGTAGGAAAGTGGTTGCCTGGCATAAAACAACTGCTGCACTTACAAACCACTGCAGAGTAATTCTAGCCCTGAACGGCCAGAGAAGTGGGATGCCCACCGCACTAGCACATCCCAGCAGGCAGCTGCAAATCAACTGAAGAGCTACCTCTTTCGTCTTTAACCAGCTCTGAGTCCTACATGCTGGGTGCAAGCATTGGCATGCAGGACAGTGTGCACCGGTGAGAGTAACACTAAAAGGAGCTGAGAATGCCACGAGGAACACAGCCGTGACTGCCATAATGAGACAGGCAGAGAGCGGGTAAACACCAGCCCAATACTGGCAATACTGGAGGCCCGGGTACTGAGAAGGTGCCTACTGTAGCCAGGCTACTGCATGCTCATTTCTCAATTAGGATAATTGCACGGGATCACAAGCATCATATGGATAGTAATGGGCATACATGAGCGGTGAATGAGTTTTCGCACATGTGTACCTCTTTGGGGACACACACACACACACAAACACGGACACGGCAGCCAGCACCAGCAGGGCACCAGAGCCGGCTCTGGACGCACACATTATCACACTGGCAGATAACTGATTGAGATCACACCATTGCACATTTCGACGAGCATTGTGCACATCTGGGATATTCATTATCCACGTGTCGGAATTGGACATGAGACACAAATTAGGAGAAGGTTAACACATGGCAGCTCAGGCGCAATGCCCTGGCGTCAGCGCAATGCCCTGGCTTCAGCGCAATGCCCTGGCTTCAGCGCTCGCTGAATGATTGATCAGCTGGCACATCGCATGCACCCATTGGGAGCATGTTGGTAACTCTCTTCAGGCAATACATACAAGGCATCAGTCAAGTTTGGTCTAAAGAGCAAGTCGGGGGATGAGACATGGACCCCAAAACGATCACTGAAGGAGCTTCCTACAACTTGACTCTACTGTTCAAAAATCTACGGCTAGTGCAAGGAGCATGGCAGCTTCCAATTCACAAAGCTATTAGGCCAGGTTTGAGATCATGTACATGTGCTAGCATATCTGATTAGATTTCCTCCCAAGAATCATACTCCAGATGAAGTATGCCATTGATCTCTCTCTCTCTCTCCAGCACACCACACAGTGCACCCCTACTAGGCCCTGCACACCATCTGACATGTCATCAACTCAGCACACCCACTAAGTCCATAGCATTGTCATCATTCTGCTGCTGAACATACCAATGTGATTTCACACAGCCGGGGTCCTGGTGGAAAGCCATTTCCAACCCTGCATGCACTCTTCTACACTACAACTGCACAAGCACATGACAATCCTAGCACTATCCTGGCTGGGTGGATTCCCAGAAAATTCCTCCTCTGGGCTAAAAAGGCTGTAATTGCTACAAGGATGTGATTACTAATCAGCTGATTTCATTGCAGAGTACAAGCTTAGCACTCATCCTGTCAATATGCCCCTGGAGTGTGCGGGGTGCTGACCGCTTCACTATGACCCCAATCTATTAATCAGCTCCACTCATTATCAGATTAACATAACAGGGTGTGAGGGCTGGTGAAGAGCATACCAGTGATGGAAATAGCTCAGGGTAGAGGAAAACAAAACGCAGGCCACCACAAAGCAGAGAGCCGCTGCCATATTCTCTCCCTGCCACGGGTCAGGCCGGAACCCAGCCATGGGGTCGGTCGATCACAGCTACCCCCTCCCCCAATCCCTGAACATCACTGTCTTCTTTAGACTTACATGTACATGTACACATAATGCGATTACAGACTCTTGTGTCAAGTCTACACACGGAGCTACACTAACACTAATACTACATTGTTGGAGAGCACAGCACGGGGCTTCTGGTAGCAGTTCCCCAAACCACCTGGTCGTTGCTCTCAGTTCTCCATCTTCAATCACAATGCTCAAATCAAATTCTGGCCCTCTAGAATAGCAGTATAATTCGCTGGAGCACTCACTCACATGTTCCACTGCCGAGAGGTACAAAGTGCACAGAAGCCCGGACTAAAGGTCCACTCCGCCTGAGCTTAGTTAGTCTGCTGGGCCAATTTCGAATCCAACCAACTGAGCTAGTACCCATCTTTCCTCCCTACAATAGATACATGCCCAGGTATTTTCACCCAAGCTAATCTGATTATTACATACTTCAAGATAGCAATCCTGTTCAGCAATAAATTGACAATAATTGTATTTTCCTCTGTTTCCTAATAGAAAAGGTCTTGTGCAAAAATGGATCATGTGCCCAATGTCTAAAATGGCTTTGAAAATTGTACCAATACAATGTAGAATCATATTGAAGGAGTGCAACGCATCATCCCCTTTGGTACACCCATTGCCGTGTCTGTGATTTTTTTGCGTGGTTTACAGACCAATTATTGTCGTAGAGAATTCGAAAGGCCTGCTGCATGGACATGGTGTACTAGCCTCTCTGCTGTGCACTATATGTAAGAGTGCTCAGGTGTTAACCATGAAACCTGTGTTTGTGGACCACCCACCCCAGACAGAGAGGAAGAGTATTTATAGACGGGTCTTCCTTGAACACAGGTGCAACGTTAGTTATGTGCATGCGGTGTACACAGCGACTTCATCTCCCCAGTCATGCCACGGGGCGTGAACAGAATCAAGCGGCTTAGCCCTTTAACACTTCACTATCACACCTGATTGTGTATCATTCTTCTGTTCTGCGAGCAAAACAAAACAAATTCGTGATCCCGGCGATGTCTAGGAGTCAGCCAGTTCAGTTGGGCAAGGCATTGTCGAAAAGCTTCACACTTCTTCACAGCAACCACTCCCCCACCCTAACACATCGTCTGCTGCCAGTAGTTCCTCATACAACCACTTCCAGCACACCGTGGCCATATTTAGGCTCCGTGCGATCTAAAACTCACTGAGGAGCCCGTGTCAAAAACCAACAGAATCACCCAGGATGGCGAAAGAATGTCTTGCAAGTGGATAGACTTTGCATTGCTGCTCAGG